GGGGCGAATATTCATATCTTTGTGTTCTGCATTATTAAAAATTAACTTCTTTTGAAATCGATTGTTTTTATGGTATGTGAACACAAATATATGAATATTCGCCCCCCCCCCTCCAATTATCGAGCTGGCTGTGCCACTGTGTATGTTTATATTTCTTTTCGTTCACAGTATAGTTTGCAGGTACAATAAATATTATTACTAACACCAAATGTATCCGTATATAAGCCCCCCCCCGTAAGTCATCCAATGTAAAAGCCCATAAAAAATTAACAAATATAAGCGCAGGGCTTATATTCGGAGGTTTAACGATATTTTGACCATCAAAATTATGTGACTATAAAGATTTCAAACTTGTACAGACATTCTAAAATTGTATTTACAGTAATATTCAGTGTAAAATCAATTTAAAGAAAAATGCTATATTTGATATAAAACCTTGCTCGATACACTTATTAATTTAAACAATTAACAATATAGGCAGGGCCTACAAACATGCATAAAAATAAAAACACATGTGTATGTAAAATCTAAACAAATGTGCAAAAACATTTGCAGTTGATGGTTGCCTACAAATGGTAGTAAAATCTGGCACATATTCCCCTTAACTAGTAAAATCATCTGGCATTAGACAGAGTTGACTAGGCAAGCACCACAAATCTATACTGCAAAATTTAATTTAAGGTCAACCCAGAAGTAAAACCAGTCACAAATCAGAAATCATCAGGCCGATGCTGGATTTTTGCCATCGTCAATGCAATACGACAGCAGTTTGTTCAAAGCAAGAGTATCGACAGTTTTGAATTTAGTCAGATGCACTTATACTTCTGGGACAAGGTTGAACGAGCCAACTACCTCCTTGATGTTTACGAAGAAGTGGCAAGGACGGAAGGAGCGGATAGTCGGACAATGATGTTTTTGATGACGGATCCATCGTGTGATGGTGGCCAGTGGCATATGTTGGTTAATTTGATTACGAAGTATGGTCTAATGCCCAAGTCAGCATGGCCAGATGCATATAGTGCCACTAGTTCTCGTCGTATGAATTCAATGATTAATACAAAGGTATAGTATGGTGATAGTGGTAATGATGGTGGTGATAATGATGGTGGTGGTAATGATGGTGGTGGTAATGATGGTGGTGGTAATGATGGTGATTGGTAATGATGGTGATTGGTAATGATGATGGTGGTGATTGGTAATGATGATGATGATGATCAATGATGATGATGATGATCAATGATGATGATGATGATCAATGATGATGATGATCAATGATGATGATGATGATCAATGATGATGATGATCAATGATGATGATGATGATTGATTGATTCAACCCTGTCAACATTCCCTGTGGGAGGAAACCGGAGTACTCAAAGGAAACCCACGACTTTCGGCAGAGCGTTGACAGACTCTTTTCACATGGCTATCATAAGTCATCCCCAACTGGAATTGAACCCACGATATCAAAGTTGAAAGGCACACGCTCTGACGATTGCGCTACCTCCCTGGTGGTAATGATGATGGTGGTAATGATGATGGTGGTGATGATGATTGTGGTGATGATGGTGGTGGTAATGATGGTGGTTGATGATGGTGGTAATGATGATGGTGGTGATGATGGTGGGGGTAATGATGGTGGTGGTGATGATGGTGGTGGTAATGATGGTGGTGGTAATGATGGTGGTGGTGATGATGATTGTGATGATGATGGTGGGGGTAATGATGATGGTGGTGATGGTGATGATCGTGATAGTGATGATGGTGGCGATGATCTCATTATCATGGTATGATGACAGCTAGTAGATACGATTTAATTTACATAAATTTTGCCCATATTAAAATAAGGGTCAAACTAGTACTGAATCAAATTCTTGTATGTATAAACTTCAGATGAGGTCATTTGCAAAACGAATGGGAGATTTAGTTAAAGACGGAGTAAGCGAAGACGAGATGAAAAAAATTAAACAAAAAATGCTATCTGAGGTAAGTCAGTTTCAACATTTTCTTCCATCAACTCTTGTTGCAGTCCTAGGGTTCAGTAAAACCGACCTATATACGTCTAATACACGAGTTTTTATCTGGTAGATTTATGGCATAGTATCGATTTGTCTTGGAACGCCACCAGAGACTTTTAAATGGGAATATTATGACACTTCCAAGAAATATTGTAAAGTCGATGAAATCACACCTTTGGAATTCTATGAAAAACACGTGAAGCCAGTGTATAATGTAGAGGACAAGGTATAACCTAAACATTGAGTATTGATTTTGGATAGCTCTTTCAGTTCTCCCGCTAGAAAGCGCCGTTAACTACTATATTACAAACTTAAAAATCTCACAACTTGTCAACAAGATGTGTTCGCAACAAGCTTGTAGCAAGTTTGTCAAACAAGTCGTAACAGTGTTGTTATTTTATCAAGTTGCTACAAGGTTGCCACTAACAACTTGTTGACAAATTGTTGAATTGCAGGACGATAACAAGTTGTTGAAACAATTTGTAACAAGTCTGTTGAACTCAACAACCTTGTAGCAAGTTGTCAACAAGCTGGGAACAAGCAGTGCGAACACATTCTGTTGACAAGTTGTTGGAACAGCATTGCTACAAGTCTCAATTCTCCTATTTTTTGTACAGGTTTGCTTTGTGAACGATCCCAGACCAAACAACGGTTACAATAAATTATACTCTGTGAAATATCTTGGCAATATGACTGGTCAGAAAACAGTCTATCTTAATCAGCCTGTTGAAGTGTTGAAATATTTGACTGTCGCCTCAGTCAAGTCTAACGAGGTAAGGGCCTATTCATATGAGCTCAGCTACCCTTTATACGCATAGACAATCCATTTGTATTCGTACGAGAAAGAGCCAGCCCGGCTAGGTGAGATCATTGGAGGACACCATGTTTACATAATGTCGTCCTACCAAGTTGGGATATTACTATTAGGTGGGATAAAAACAGTCATATAAACACAGAAATAATTCATTGCATTCAGGTAAGCTTCCTGTGTCGGTGTAATACCTTTGGCGAAGGACTTCCTCAGTGGGTGTTTATGAGACCTACACGAAGGGCTGGCTCTGCTAATTGAAACCCATTTTGGAAGATTGTTTTTGTTTTGTTAAGGTGGTTTGGTTCGGTTGCGATGTTGGCAAACATTTTTGTCGAAAGCAAGGATTGTTATGCTTAGATATGTAAGTATAATGCTTCCTTGAGCTGTATACACGGGATGTTCCTTACTATATAATTTAACTGCTTTCTGTTTAGACACGATTATGAACTCACATTCAACCTGACTATGCCAGCATTGAATAAAGCTGATCGACTTCTGTTCGGAGAATCTCTGATGACCCATGCCATGGCTATATCTGGTGTCTCGGTTGAGGTAAGGTGGTGATGATGATAATGTTGTGGTAATAAGAATGTTTGTGCTGGTGATGACGATGGTTGTGATGGTGATCATAATAGTTGTGCTGGTGATGATGATGGTTGTGGTGATGATGGTTGTGGTGATGATGATGGTTGTGGTGATGGTTATGTTGATGATGATAATGGTTGTGCTGATGATGATTGTGGTGATGATGATGGTTGTGGTGATGGTTATGTTGATGATGATAATGGTTGTGCTGGTGATGATGATTGTGGTAATGATGATGGTTGTGATGGTGATGGTAATGGTTGTGCTGGTGATGATGGTGGTGATGATGATGGTTATGGTGATGATTATGATTGTAGTGATGGTGGTTGTGATGATAATGTTGATGGTGGTGATTATGGAAGTGGTGATGGTGATGATGATGGCGATGATGGTAACAATAGTGGAGATAGTTATGATGGTGACATTTCTACTTTCTCGTCAACTTAAGCAACCCGATGAAAAGAAGGAACCGGAAACGAAACCAACGGAAGAGCCAAAAGACGGCGATGCTGAACAAAAAGACGCCAG